CTGCACTCATTCGTGGCTGGAGCAGAAATCGGGTGTTTGATGAATACTTTTTGATGAATACTTTCATCTTGTTTGTTAGAAATATATATGTATTAAAAAATTCCAAACAAGTTAAAAATGGAAACAATAATATAACTTTGGCGAGGTTAATTAAGCCTCACAAAAAGCTCTTGATCAGTAACTAGTTTTCTTCAAAACATAACACCAGAAAATGTTGATCAAACTGTTATGATGCGTTTGTCGAGCATGTTTTAATATATTTAGCTTACGCATGTCGCAGAACATTCCTTCGTAGCCTTCGAAACACAGACACGTAGCATTTAACGTGGAATTCGAGCTTTCCACGCACACACCGAACGCACACTGGAGCTCCTCGCACGTCAGAATGGCACCTTTTAGCAAAAACAAAGATAAGAATATATGGGAGACTGATCCGGGAGGGGAGGGGAGGGGTCAAGCCCTGCTGGCACTAAAAAGAGGAGTAAATAAATTGAATAACAATTATAGTAATAAGAAAGTGGACATCTTGCAGGGGTTTTTATTTGTACTTTAGTAACAAGGTAATACATTACCCAAGAAATCTGAGGGGCCTGACCGCCACCCCGGAATGATTCTTTGATCCACCCCTTCTTATACAGGGGAATTTAACGTGCGGAAAGTAATTTATCTTTCGGTTTCATGAAGAGTAAAATTTGGGGGTTTGAAGAAGTCATGTGTAATAAATCATAATGTTGCCCAGCCTTTAGAAGAATATGGAATACTTAATGAAGAGTTATCCTTTTCCTGCTTTAAACACTGATCCTTTCCGACGTGAGGAATTTAAGTGTATCCGACCAAAGCTTCAACATTTCATTACATTTAATCGAATTTTAAGGGATAGATCTTTAGGTACACAGCTAAGGAGCTTAGACATTTTCCCTTAACAACAATATTTACATAATGGGTATTCACCACAGTGCGGGAACGTAGCTTTGTCAAGAAAGAAACTGTTGTGTTTTGTGATTATCTTTTCTCCCAACCATGCCCTTATTGAAACAAGGTATGAGTAAGACAGATATTGAACAAATCCGGAAATCAGTCAAAAAGAAAAAAAAATCCATCAGCAAATTTCCTCAGAAATGGACCCCTGTTTTGTAAAAGGATAAGGTTTGATCATTGCGATTCGATGCTTTCTACATTGAAAGTTAACTTACGACCTGAAACGTTGAGAAAATAGCCCAAATTAGCACAGGGAGGGCTTAGCATAACCCCCAGAAAGAGAACGTGGTGTTCTCTTGAAATGGCATGTGTAAATTCATGCACGAACACTGACGACAACATGGCACATATTTAGATAAGACGACAACATTTTTCTTGCCCTACAGAATTCTGCATATCATGCACCACCGAAATGCATACTGCACAGCCGATACTTGGGTACCACGTGTCAATGCATGTAGCTTACAACATTTTGCAAGGCTGAATGTAAGAAATATTATGGGGGAAGGGGATTTCTCCTTGTTGGGCTTACAGGAAAACAGTTTATATGTACATTAAATGACAACAGTTACAAGCCCTAACAGATAAAACGAGTTATTCAGTCTCATGCTACCTTTCTGTCACTCTTCGTTGAGGCATTTCGATTTAATGCACTAATCAAACAGTGGAGGAAAAGCTTATACGGCACAATGACCTCGCCAGAAGGGAATGGCAAGGATAAACATTTCTCAGCAAACATTTCATCGGTCGGCCCTTTCAGTAATTGGGATTTTGAAAGGTCTGGAAAGAAATAGCGAGTAAATAGAATTATGCAATGCTGTTAAAATGAAGGGGGTCGATTGACAAGCGTGCAATCGCGTGACTTAAGCTCCGTAGGCGACAGTTGTGACTAAAATTCGCTCCGCCATGTCGTGTAACAAATACCTATACCCGCCCAGAATGGTTTACTTGAACCTCAACTAAATGTCAGCCTGGCTGTTTTTGAAAAAATAACTCAGTCACACAAACTCAGTTGGCTACCCACTTAACAGTGTGATCCACAAAGCTGATGTAACAACCTCCATATGCGTGTGTTGTCATTACACAACTGTCTTGGGAGACGCCATGTACTTTCTTATGGGAAAATGAATCTTGAGTTTTAATGCCTCGTAGAAAAATATCGATCTCTCATCTCTCATGGGAAGAAGTTTGTACTAATTTTGAAATCTTTTAGCCTATAATACAATAACAACTAAAGAATTTGGTACAATTTTTTCTTGCGATCATGCCGCTAACAAATCGGGACATATTTTATTCTTACATAGGCCTAACTCTCTCACTTAATAAAGATGTCTTAATTAAAGAACCGGAACATAAGACTTGTGCAAACAAAATTTCGTCAGTTTAAAAAGGTAGAGGTAGTGGTGGGGGTCTTCACAAATGAAGATCGTATACGAAGGATACACTAGGCCTATACCTCAGTTTGCCAACTGCAGTCAAGTACAGTTCATTTGAAGTTTGATAAGGCAATATTTGAACACAAGTTGTGTGGTGGCCCGATAGAGCCGGAAACATGTTTCAAAGTTTTAGCTGAGTAAGAAACTAAGAAAAATCGTCTTTAAGAAAAACCTTCCTTGCTCAGTTCAGTCTTTTTGAATTGTGCAATAAAGGATGTTTATCATGAATAAAAAAGTCAAATTTTACTCACCGGCATCCTGACATTTAACTGACCATGCCAGCCCCCAGGCAAGAAAGAGAAAGCAGCCGAACTTGGCCGAAGTTATCATGGTGGTCTCTTGGTAACTCCCCTTAATCGTATCCAGAGTCCTAGATTTTATATCACAGATCCATTTTCTCTGTCTCAGACCCACCCACGAAAGAACTTACAACCTCACGCAACTTGTTCCGGTGAAGTAGGCGCGAGAGTGTGAGTTTGTCTACCGGACTGTCCACCTTAAGTTCCAAGCGGACTATCGGCGCCACTAAAGCCGGCCAAATCTCCAAGCTCCACTAAGTAAACTTACCGGCTGCGCAACTTATAGACTGTCAACAGCGATAGAAGACCGCCTGTTTAGAAAACAAACATTTTAGACCTTCTTTTTTCCATATTATTGTCTAAGCTAACCGTCGAAACTTTCTCTGTCATGGAAATACGCTATATATTTATCTGTTACAAATAGTGACGAATTCTCTATTTTTTGTTAAAATAAGTTCTAGAAATTGAGTAATTTTCTTTGATAATCTGAGCACAGTGAGCCAGATAACAGAACATTCAAAACATGTGTAGCCTACCGTCCTCACACATGCATTTTTCAGCTTGACGCGCGTGTGCATTTAGCACGACACCCTATCAAAGGCATGTAACGCACGCGTACCACATGTCTATGAGTGTTGCGCCAGTGCAGTAATAGCTTCTAATTCTGGTTGTCAAATTTCACAATAGCGAAACTCTTTTCTCCCACTCTCTTCCCTTACGTTTACATGTTCTCCAAAGAGCCGATCCACTGGGCAAAATTTTCGGGGCAGGGAGGCAAAATTCGTTTTTTTTTTTGGTGGGGGAGCCGAAATTTTTAGACAATTTTCTAATGTAACCCTTTATGGCCTTTTAAAGGGGTGAAGCTACTTTCTGGTGCTTTTTGCAGCTTTAGGAATGAAAGGAAAGCGTAAATACTAAAAATTTCTCTCAAAAACTTTCTTTCTCGCTCAAAAAATGGAGGATATTGCCCCCTCGTACGTTGTCCTCCCTTCGGATTTACCCTTGTTATCTCCTAATCAGTAAATTAATTACCAAACGTTGGTAATGCATCGGATGAACTAACGGATGGGGCTGTAAATTTCATTAATACGTTATGAAAGAGATTAAGTAGTAAGTCGACTGGCGAGTGCTCAAACTCCGGGTTGTCCGAATTGCTTCCTGACTGCTAACCGCAACAGCCACTTGTCATGAACCACATCACTAGTGTGACACATTCCAAGTCAGAGCGCTTCTGTTCCAGGCCTATCTATTCGCAGCCAAGGAGTTGGAAACTTAGCACATTTGTCGATCGGTTCTCGGTTGTCCAGTGCTTTCATGTACTCTTCAAGAAGATCATTCCCTGCTTATAATCTCCACCAATAGAAATACCTGGAATTACCACTGATGTTGTTTGTTTTGGATCAAAGTTTGTAAATAAGTATAGGAATGCCAGATTCTGTTGTTTACATGCATCTCGCGCAACTATGCAGACTACAGGATGTTTGAATTTGAAGGCGTTGTCTGTAAAGATTTCTTAATATTATTAGTCCAGCTTTATTATTGGGAAACCGTCAGGAGACCTGAAAGTACATGTGGAACTTATTGCACTATGTCGACGATAAGAGACATGTAAAAGCATGTACCGGCAAAAGTTGAAATTTCGTCATCCATTAACATAGACAATTCTTAAATAACAAGAAGTTAAAAAAGAAGCAGTGGAAATAATATCCGGTACAACAGTAGCCTTTATCATCATTTTTTATTTTTCTGTTTGGGGACTTTGACTCATGAGGAGGTCGATTGCAGCGGAACCCAAAGTTCTACTGTCAGAATCGTCCACATATATATCACGACGACTGGTCCTTTCTGAAACAGTGTGGTCAGTTCTTTCCAAAATCAACAACCTTCTATCTCCAACTAGGCGGGCAAATCTACTTAACATGACAAAAGAGAAGTATCACCCAAAAGGGAACTGTGACTTCAGACAATAGGCCTATGCATTCGGATTATAGAGCCTCAAATTTCATAAAAATCGAAGAGTAGGCCCTACAGAAGTTTGGATCAGCGTTCGAAAATCCCGATTGTGGAAAATCGAAGCATAGCTTATTCATGACAAGCTTGCTATATGCTTGCCTGTCTGCCACGGGAACGATCCCACCCTTAACCGATGTGATATTAGGAATCAGGATTTCACGGAGTCGAATTTTCGTAGGCCGCCTGTACTCCGTCGCTATGCACGGAGTTGAGGATAGTCTGATACCTCGACGTCTAAAGTTATCTTGCAAGATACTGTGTGCTGCAGCCCAGCCTAATGTGTACAGGGCAAGCGCGGAAATTCGTTCGCGCTGTGCGGCATGTGTGCTTTGTGCCAGCGTTCCGTGTGTATACTACAGAACAGTAGTAAGTAGTGTCACTATAACATTAACAAGGGAGACCTACATTTGTAACTTTTGCATTCACCTTGGTAAATGACTGCAACATCATGCTCAATATCTGTAGGATTAATGTTATGAAAAGAGGGCAGGGGTTTAAGTTTTGAGGAACTTGTTCTAGGAGGAAGGAAAACACATTGTCCCATGGCAGCCATGGCAGCATGGATTCAAATTTGCATGGCTGGTTTATCATGTTTATCAGTAAGAAGGTCATATTTTCTTACAGTTTGCAATATATAATATGAAATTTCAAAAATATAGGGTCAGCGCAGTATAGAGAGCATTGTTTTGGGGGGACTGACCAGTTTTACAATGTTAAAATGACAAAACTGGGGATCCCCATACAGGGTGAGTGCGGGAATTTTTAACCAGGAGGAAAATTCGACCAACTGCATTCAAAAACTAAACAGCTGGTTGAATTTCGTGCTTTTCTTATGTGGTCGAATACCCGGACCTTTACCCTACATGTACATAATGACTACAAATCCCTGTCTGATTTCTTAAGCAGAATACTGATTTTGGCCTTCAGAAAACTTAAAAGCTAACATAATGAAGGTTGGCAGCTCTCAATCTGTGACAGCGTTTCTGTCTGCATTTTGACCAGGCAGCGGTAAGACCTGTTTTCTAGGTAACTGGCTCGTCAGACACCAGAAGCATGTCCCAGAGGATGTCAGCGCATGTCAGCTGGTGGGATGCTCCTGCAAGCAGTACAAGTGAGTCTATTCAAAACTGAACACGGAAAGAAGCCTGTCATACAAATTGTTACCGGTACGTCATTTGTATCCCAATTGGAAAAGAGGACTATAATAGCTTATAGAAAAGGGATTTTTGTATTTGACCCTCTTACCCAGTGGGCACGAGACGTCGATATGACGTCTTAAAGACGTCCAATATTGACGTCTTATTAATGTCTTTTTTGAGTCGTATATACAAAGCCAAAAGACGTCAGCATCCTGACAAGTAAACGACGTCAGTGGTCTGACTAGAAAGACGTCAGCATTATGACGAGTAAAAGAGGTCAACATCGCGACTAATAAAAGACGTCAACATTGAGACTAATAAAAGATGTCAACATTGCGACTAATAATAGACGTCATCATATTGAGCAGTAAAAGACATCTGCATTGGACGAGTCATGTTTTTTTTTTACTTTTTATGATAAAAAGAAGTTCACATGCCTTAACACGCTGCCTGGCTATAAAATAGATTTTGACTAAAGCGACTGTTTACAACTAAACATAATTTTTTTTATTTAACTCTCATTCTTCATATTATAATAACCTGTTAGCACACTTTGCTGAAAACGATGGTCTACACAAATATTATGTACCAATAATATTTCTGGTAAATTCAATGGTTTTGGACGGACCATTACAATTGCACCCAGCATGATCAATGTGACGATGAAACAAGGTATACTTGTGTTTACACTTACTGGTTAAAAGCAGTTAAAAGGTTTACTTTTACGGACGAGGCAAGAATGGGAAACATTAATCACACAGTACATGTAGTATAAGCCATGTAACTGAATTTGGCAGAACAAAACATTTTCAACCAGGCAAGACTTAGTAAAATACGTTTTAGATGTACATGTAATGGCATTTATAAGAGGTAGAAAAACAACATCAGTTAATGAAAATATGTATGCTTGTACTAATAAGACAATTCAAATCGAGTTGGCTTAGAATTAAAAAAAAATGGAAACATGGCACATTTTTTTGAGAAAATTTTGTCTCATGCAGTGGTTTGTCAAAGTTTTTAGAAAACAGACCATCCTGGAACAGGATGATCTAGTCAATTACAATTTAAATTACTGTACGTGTTTTAATGCCGCAAAATATTTTACCCATGCCCCCCCCCAAAAAATGATCAGACGTGTAATTTTGTTATTGCCGTACTTTAAAAAGCCTTCATTGCTTCAACCTGAGGAAAAAAAAACGAGGAAACAATGTACAAAGTTTACTTGAACAACAAAACGTTTAAAGTTTTCAAATAAGACCCAATACAAAAATAGGCTTTATGCTCATTAGTTAAATATCACCGAAATATATGAAACTGCCAGGAAACAGGCCTCTGATGCACTAGACTGGTCGCACAGTTATCCGGTGGGCATGCCTGCTGAATTACTCAGGGCTCTTGGTTTGTCTCTCGTAGGAATACTAAGCTTGAGGTTCTTCGCGATTTGTTGTCTTACTGCAGACACTGTTGTACCGTGTGATGCAACACTTTCTGCAAATGTTAGACAAATAAGACAATTTATTTTTGTGAAAACTATAAGGACTTTGGTGGCAGTAAATAAACCGGTCCTCTACCATTGTTTACACCACGTCTGAGCTTAAGTGCGCATGTTCATTGTGATTGAGAATGAAAAAGAATTTTTCTGCCACCAACTGTCTCTAACACGTCTAAATCGAGTGGCCAATATTGTACATTGCAACACATACATGTACTGCCGTTACATTTTCACAATTTAGTCTCACCAATACAATGGTATAATGTTTAATCTTAAAAGGGTAAATTAGATTTATTGACACTGATAGTTTTTGACATATTTGATGACGCTGAAGTATGGGCACCGTGGCTAGCCCAGATGCTGCTTACTGCACTCCGACTGTGAGTCTACATACATGTACGACTACGAATAAACACTATCTGTAGTCCAACCATGGAGGTAGGAAACAACCGCGGCCAACCCAGTTGACTGTTGAGGATTAAAATTATTGCGTTTAAGCCTGACCTCTGCTTCACCAACAATGCCCATACGGAGCAGAACTATATTTTATAAGCACTTACCTTTTAAGGAAGGGCCTAATCTGTCTCACTCTTCTTTTAACGGACAAGCTGCTTGCAGCAATACTACATAGTACTCGAGCTCTCTTAATTCAAAGCACGAACGAAATTATGAAGTAGTCGGGTTCCCTGACCTGAAGATCTTTATTCCATTGGAAATACGTGTAGACGCCGAAGTCAGTAGACCTAACCGTATTTGTGGAAGCCTGTTTTGACTTTTGGACATGACCTCAGTCTTTGCCATCGCTGGTTCCAGTCGGCATGCTCAGAGTCTCCTCGAAAGGCCGGAACCAGCTAATACTAGGCCAGAGCCACTATAGTAGCACAGTGCGCACGCTTTAAGCCATTCGTTGCTTGCGAGCATGCAGGCAATGAAAGAAAATAGCCTCATCATGTAGGGGTATTTTAATGTCATGTTATTTTAAATCAGAGGAGGGCGTTAAGGGTCAGTTCCACTGCAAATAATCATAAATCACAAGCATGTGTACCAAACCACACTTGCAATTCGTCTTGTGTTAAAATTTCCCTGTAAAATGGACATTTGCACTATTGCTATCTCATACATGTACATCCCTCTTGACGTATAGATGAGGCAAACAGAACAGTCACCTGCGTCCGCAGGCGGGATTTCGCAAAACATTGTATGCCATTGTTCTGGCGGGACTTGACCTTCCGTGGTAAAACGGAGTGAGAACCGGCAAAACCGAGACAAACTAACCGAGACAAACAAACTGCTGTATGTTGACGATTTGATGACTGTAAAATGACGTGGTAAAGAGGTCGTGTGTTTCATGTATTGCTTGTTGAAGAAAACAATTCAAATAGAGAAATAAAAAGATGTCGTTTTCTCCTTTCACTGTATGTGTGGTACTGATGATTTGATAACGACTGCCAAACGACGTCTTAAAGACATCATGTTTTTTTGTGGTCATGGTTGCTGAAGCAATGTTTCTAACCGAAGATTAAAGACGTCTTTAAGACGTCGTTTCTTTGTCACGACCACTTTACGACACACGACCACATAACGACCACAAAAAGACGTCTTTCACGTGTCGTGTGCCCGCTGGGTACAGCTGAGGGGAAAAAATGAGTTATTCATGAATCCTCCTGAAGAACTTGGCAATCCCTTCGAAAATCTTTGAAAATCAATCTCTTTGAAACTTGGTGGGCATGTGAAGACTTATGCTGTGAGTGTATATATGAAGTTTCAATTCAATCTGACAGAAGGTTTTGTGGCTATGGTCATTCACGTTTACACTTTCAGGTGTGGGACAGCACAGACATCTAGGAGTTTCACAAAAATACGTGTAGCAACCACACCGCGGCCGGTGAAAACAATTGCAACGAGTGCGCGCGTACGCACAGATCAAAGAAAAGATTGTAACCCGATCCTCGGACTGGCTGGTGCATGCATATGTTGCCAAGGTCGCTGTTTTCACTGGCGCAGTACCTGTCATTTTACGAGAGTCCTGGATGTCCGCGCTGCCCCATAGCTGCCCACCTGTTTAGGAAAAACGGGTACTCATAGTTCATGAGAACGGCATGTTTTGTTTCAAAAAAAAATCATGTTAAATGACCTCAAAGACATCAACTTTAATAAAAAGTTCCTGAGGCTCATCATGATGAAGATACATTGTCATGAAGTCATACCAATTGGCAGTGGGGAAGGGCAAATTCTCTCTCCCTGCAGCTCTAAAGGTTAACCTGAGAGAGCATTGGGTGCACTGGTAGTGCATTCTAACGGTGTCTTACATCTGGAAGATTTTATGTCAGTAGATGGAGCGTTTTTGCCTTTTTTTAGTTTTCCCGAAGAACTCCACATTGACCTCAATTAAGATTCCTTTTCTTTACTGATGTGTGCTACATGTAAATTTGCCATTTTCTATCTGTTGAAATAAATTTACAGTCTTTTAGTTGAGACCACTGAGGACCTTCATAAGACCACACGAGAGCAACACAAAGACCTCCAGTCTGAATTCAGGTCCCAAGCCATTCAAATGAACTACAACAAAAGCATTCCTTTCTCATTGTTCACCCTGTGTGACTGGTTTTGTGTGTGGTTTTGTGTGTGGTCTTGTGTCAAGTCTTGTGTCTGGTCTTATGATGGTCTCGACTACAACACTGTACAATTGAGAATTTTCTTCTATCACAGGTGTAAAAACATTCTCCAGAGGTTTTGCAACAATGTGCGATAGCAATGATGTCCCAGCAGAAGAGAGGGTCTGTGTAGCTTTCGAGAAGGAGGAGATTAGATTCACGACCTTTGGCAAACACTGAACATCTTGGTTTCCGAGGCAACCCCAGCTAAGCTTATAGGTTGTGTTCATCATTGATACACTTGACATGATGGAGGAAGCTGAAAAAGCCATCAAGGTAAGATTTAGGTCTTGAATATTGTCAATCAGAATTAACATTGTGGAAAGGTTACAAGTTTATACAGGGTGTAATTACCATTGGGCGCTGTTTGAGCAAGCAATACGCCTGCACAGTTTATGGTAATGCTAAGGCGCAGGCTCACCAGGTGCATGTGCCTGCCGTGGCGCCTGTGCCTTTGCATTACTGTGCATTGCGCAGGCGTATTGCTTGCTCAAATGGCGCCTGTCTAATAACAACGTTTTACGTGTATTCACTGTGAAGTTTGCCATCTTGCGCCACTTCGCGGCGCTATACGATCTTTGATAGACACATACATGTATATCATATACATGTATGTGTCTACCGTGTATGGAAAACGTACATTGTATGGCATAGTGTATAGGTTTTTGAGTCAAGGGGGACAAACTGATTGTCCAAGTTTTTTAATCCTTATAACATTGGGAGTGAAATCTCTGCTCCTTTGTGGGTTTCTGCTTTTTTGATGAGTATATGCTGAATTTTATTTTCTGCTTTTTGCTATCAATGGTCCAGATTTCCTTCTTTGCGCAAGAGCCAATTTTTGTATTTTTTCCTTTTTGTACCGTGACGGGCAGGCCAAATTTTGAACGGCCCCTTCCGACATCGAACGCATGTGAAACACAGTACTGGAGTACTGTATTGCATTGAATTTACTGTACATGTACACTGATGTATGTGCATATATATGTTTACAGTGTAAACAAGTCTGTGCAGGCATTTTTCGGCGCGGCTTGAAGCGCAAACCTTGTGTGTAAACAGCATCCTGGGCCCATCCACTCATTGTGTTGTGATTGGCTAAATATGAATATTGATTCTGTATGTGTGTCAGTGGGACTTGTTACAGCCGTTCCTGCATTAGCGGAAGTAGTGACTAACAATCGTTCACTATTACGGTAGCACACATTTCACTCTAAATTTGTGGCTTGAAATAGGGTTAGTGAATTTTCACTTTTGCCGATAGAGTGCTTCATGACAACTGGTGCGGGGCAAAGTTCGTATGTCATGCATTAATGCTCAGTGTTTACATGCTCTGTGTGCATGGTTTTGTACAAGATTTCTAATAGTTTTTGACATAAACACAACTCCTCAAAATGTCTATGCAACACAAGTGCATGATTGTCCAAAGAGGGTCTGACCTAGATACAATCATTTTTACAATGCTGATCCTCAAGTTACAAATCAACAGAAATGGACGTGGATGGAATACACCATTGACAGGCAGGCGATACAGTCCTCACGTGGAAAATCCAAAAGCCTGGGCATGTGATGTGAATTCTTTGTAACAAATTTAGTTAAATTTTGAAAACATGGTTGAATTAGGTGGGAAAACGGCCAACCCACTCTTCCAACCTAGATAGTTACAATTTTGGTATACCGTTTACTACATGTAGTTCATTTTAACCTTCATGAAGTTCATGCAAATATGAAGAAAAAAAGTGAAATTAAAAATGTGCATAAATTACAAGAAGAAATGACCAATGCTTGCACCAGGAGGCTGTAAAATGCACCAAAGAGCATTTACCCTATATATGTGCGTTGCACTTGCAATTTCAGCTAAATTCAGCTATTCTGTTAATGCTCCGCTCACACCCCTGATTGTGAAAGGAGTCATCTCCATCCTCGTGAAGTTGGCAGTAACTTTTTTTGAGTTTCTTATAAAAAATGCAAGGGAGAAGTCCCTCCCAGGATGCACCAGAGATTACGTGTGCATTGTAGAATAATTAGTGGGGATGTCCATTGAGGCTAATACCTTGAAGACCTTGAAGGAGCCAGTGGCTCCGTTGTAGCCTAGAAATGTGGGGTTGAATACCCCATTGCATTTTCCATGCAGGGCAGGAAATTTGGAATGGGTCAGCACGTCAGGGGTCCGCATGTTGTTGGGATCCAGTGAGATAGGGGCAGAGCGTGACGTGTGTGCTGTGGGGTGTAAGGTTTGTGGGGCACTGACTTGTCCTGTTTTGGTAAACATTTTGAGAATCATCTGACTGGGGTAGGAACACTTGCATGATTTGGCAGATGTTACTTGCACTTAAGTACCTGGTTGAGCTGAGGTGTCGGATGTACTGTACATGTAAACTCCTCTGCCATGCTTTGGATTAGAGTGGGTTGTAGCCAGAGACTGCTATGGTTGTTGCTGTTGGCACGAATGTTGAGTATTAGGCTACAAAGCAAACACCTGTCATTACGGATGGCCAGAGGTGTGCATAGTTCTAACAATTAGACAGGTGCTTTAGAAATTTCTGGTTTGATTTAGGCCAGGGTGGGGGAGCANTTGTATTTTAGTCCATCACAAGTCCCTGTAAGTCCATCACGAGTCATTCAGTCTTTAGCCAATTCACCAACTGCTCAAACGAAATTGCGACAAAATCATTCTTTTGTCATTGTTCACCCTGTTAATTACATGTGTGACTGGCCTTGTGAAAGAACTTGGGATGGACTCCAATACAACACTGCAAAGAACTCTCTCTGTGACATGCATGTGTTTTTGAGTGAAGGCGAGAGCCCTTCATCTTTGCTGATATCTTGGCCTTTGTGGGTGTTGGTGTTTATGGGTCCTGATGGACATCATCGGTGACAGAGGTCATTTTACACTGGTACAGGTCTTAAGCTTGTTCATCAGTATTAAGGTGCAGTGAAGGTAGCGTGCCCACCAGTGGACTGGAAGTCAAAATTTGTCGTTGGATAGCTTGTCAAATGCTTGCAATGGATGTGGAATTTCTTAAAGGTTAGCTGCAGTCCATGGTTTTGATTACGAACAGGTGTAAAATGCAACTTCGGTTTCACTATTTCAGGGGGTATTTTAATGCCTTTTTGGTTTCTGCTAATGAGTGTTTCCATATTCATGAGCAAAACTGTGATGTCATCTCAGAAAGAAGCCTCAGTGTTACATAGGTTTGTACACAACAAAGTCCTCCGTTTTTGCAGATTTTCCTGAACTAAGGTTTTTCTTTGCTGATTCATTGTTCATGAGCACAGCAATAGGAAAAAGTTTTAGTTAGTAAATGCTGGGTTCACAATTTGTACAGAAATACTTTAGTACTGAACATTGTCTTCCTCAGATGACTTCACAGCAACAGTGCCCTCAGTTGTCCTTTTAAATACATGTAGGAGTGTGTAAAAGTTTTCATACATTGAAGGAAAGTACAAAGATGCTGAAAATGTTCGTCGAAGAAAAATTCATTCTAGAGGTCTACACTCTAAGTATTGTACTGTAGGAATGATTGGGCACAAGTTTAGTCTTTAGCCCAACATGGATTGGAGCTTGGATACAGTACTTTTTGTTGAACAGTGTGGTGTTTTTAAGCTGGGACTTGGTCATCATCAGTGAATCCATGAAGTGAGTCTTTTCACTCCATGTGAAGTTGTCAGTGAGCAAGGGGGCAATGTTTGGATGGAACAAAAGAGTGTACTTTAAGTTGTGTCTCCAGGTTTCAAAGGAATTGACTGTTCTGATCTTGCTGAGGGACCCCTGTTTTGGCGGATGATGATGTGTAGTGGCCATTTTGCCTTGGGGGATGTAGTTACTTTTGTTCAGGGCAAACTGTCTATATAAGATCACACAGCTGTAGTGTCCTCTGGTTAGCACCTGCTCGTGAAAGATGCTCACTATTGGCAGTTGGAAAATGGCATTCAATTTTGATGGCTTTGGTGAAAAATGTGAAAATGTTTCTGATACTGCCACCGTATCATTATAGAAAGGGAGGGGTACTCAAGATAACGGAATCGGGGCCTAACACTAGACGAGAGGAACCGTTTTAATGGTACGAAACGCACGAGAAAAATAAAGATGTTAGCCCAACTGGTATAAGATAACTACATGTAGTCATTAGTTATGACATTGGGGATGTGGTGGTACCAACGGATGCCAAGAATGTAGGCAGTGGATGGTTGTAGAGGAGGGAGACCAGGATTTGCATCCATAGAGGAGAACAGGAAGGCACAGGTGTTGAGGATGCATATTTTGGTGGATGTGCAGATCTTGCTACTGCACCATACCCGTGAGAGACAGTGTTCTAGCCAGGCATTCAAAAGCATATCGGGCCCATACGCTGAGCAAAAACCCTGACATGCCGGAACTACCCCTGATGCGCAATCAATATGCTTCTATTTTCCTGGGAATCTAATATTAAGTTTAAAAACATTGCAATCAGAGATGTGAAAAAAGAATTCTTCATAAACACCGACAAAAAGTTACCAGAATATCAGCAAAATGCACCGAAATTGGACGAAACTTCCACAACGCAACACAGTACACACATCAGTACAGCTACATGTACAATGTACCTCTGTGGAGACATCACGTACAAGTGGCATGCACAATACTGGTTCCCGCTGCGCCGGTGATAAATTATTAGCAAGAGTAGATGGTTAGGAGCCAGACTACACCTCTGGATGGCATGGCTGGTAGCACGGTAGTTACCCGAACCTTTCAAATAGTGTCGCCTCGAAAATTATCAAAGTAAGCTACAGCTAACTTGACACTGACACTTTCAGACATTTATTTCCTCTTCTAATAATAGCGATAGACCTACGTGATACAGTATTGAATAGTCATAAAGTAGTAACCAAACAAATGTATTAAATAATCATAAAGAAGACAAGAAGAGGGGGGCAAAAGCCTAAAAAGCAAAGGCTTGTGTTAGGCCAACTAACACATTACATTAACAAATTACATACAAGTCATTCAAATACAAACAAAACAAAAGTTCGACACTGTGTAATCACAAGGTGATAAACGAATGAAATCACGGACCCTCGATGAAATGAACGATACGGAATGAAAACAGTGGACATAGACCGACATAAGAATAATTAATCAAGATGAAGGTTTGTACAGAGAATGGCATGTTATTACAGTAGATCAGATTTCAGTTTACTTTTGAAAGTACTGTAAGATTTAGATTCTCTAAGGGAAAGTGGCAAAGTGTTCCAAAGTTTAGGTCCAGCATATTTAATATTTGTTTGGAAGGCAGCTGTTC